TATTCGAGAGACTCGAATCCCTCTGGCCCGAACGGAGAGAAGATGAGGCGAGGTCGAGATTGCACCCCAGCCTCTTGAAAGTCAACATTTAGGCGTTATATTAACTTATTTGAGGTCACATTTCCGACCAAAAAGTGAGGCGCATCAACAAAAGAGGAGATCCTTTCAATAGATCGAGGCAAAGCTATACAGTCCAGGACCCCGATTCGGAGATAATTATTCAGGGAAGCTAGTTTAGGAGGAATTCTTTGATAAAAGTTCGTTTTAAAAGGTGAGTGGAAAGTTTTTCTGCAAATCAATCACACCGACAATCAAGGGAGGATTGTCTTCAATTCCGATCAATCGGTGCTGAACTTTCGTCTGTTCCGCTTTGACACTGATCTGCAGAGCATTGAACTATTAAAAAAAACGGTGGTTCCTCATTAAGCAGACGAAGTTAAGTCATCAGAGGTAAATAGGATCATAATCGGTCACCTTTTGGTCTTAGGGCTTAAAGAGGATTTAGGCTTTGAAGATGACTGCCAAAACGAAACAACGAAAGCTCAGCATGGATGATTCGAGGTTGGAGTACCTTACAAAAAGTCTTTCTTCGTTTGCACCAATCGAAAGTCACGATAGACTCTGCTTTCAGGGTGGGTAAATTTACAAATCCATTCTACCATCCTTTTAAGACAAGGTAAAGGTACAAAAAATATGTGAAGTGAATGGAAGAAGTGAAAAAAGTCTAATGTCTGGAGAAGATATCTTAAAGGATCATTTAGTGATCTGACGATGCCTGTTGCGATTTCTGGTGAATCCAATCTACAAAATAACTTCAGCCACCTTGTAAAACGAAATGAAAATTTCAGCAACATAGAATATCAGATAAATTTGCGAAGTTCCCACTATAATCGGTGTCTTGAGGTCAATTTAATTCGGATGATCGTTGGAATTATCTGTTAAATAATGTAATGAAGGACTAATTTGTAGTTGAATTTTCCCACAATGATATGAGGAAACCTCATGATTTCATTGAATTTCACATGGCCTTGCTCCCCAAAAGGTATCATCATCCAGGCATCAGTAGATTGCCGTTTCGACCTAGATTCAATTGGTCTAATCTGCATCCCTAGCGGGACTCGAGCCATGAAAGTGTAGCATATTATCTCGACACGTTGACCACTCCGTCACATTTCCACGAATGCCCTTAAGACATGGGGTAGATGTTCATTTCAAGGAATGCCTGACATTTTCTCATACCACATTCTGTGGTGGGAGTGCCGATAAAACAAGGTAATATTTTCTATAGCAATCGAGTACATCACATAGGTTTAGTTTATGATTAGAGTTAATGAGATGTGTTCACCCTATAGCATCATCGACAATCCCACCAGAGAATACGATATACGAAAGTATTTGGCCTCTGGTCCAAGGGCATTCGTGGTAATGTGGAGTAGTGGTCGACGCTTCGAGCTTATATGCTACACTGTCATGGCGCGAGTGGCGCTGATGGTGCCGATTAAACCAGTCCACTCTTGTTTGAATGAGAATACCTTTTGTGGATCAAGACTGTGTGAAATTCAATGAAAAAGTGAGGTCTCCTCATAGCATAGTGGGAAAATTTATCTACCACTCCCTCATCACTTTAAACGAAATAACGCGAACGCATATAATATATTTGCTTTACTGGTATTATCGAAACCCTAACTATAAACGAAAAATAAATGAGGTAGCATCATCGTTGGTTGAACGGAGATGTTTCGTGGGCCTTGTTGCTGACTATTCAAAGGAGCTGTGAGTCTGGTTATTTAAAAACCATTAACCGAGTTAGGGTGGTTCTTGCCTACCAGCATCTCGTGAATAAGAACTCAAGTCAACCGGGGTCGTTGAACGAAAAGAAAGGATTGCGAGTTGAATTTCCTATAATGAACTGAGTAGCAGACTTCAGCGCGCCATTGTCTCATGTGAACTTGCCTGCATTTTCTATCATCATTACTTAGAAACCTTACTCCTCAATGCCATAGCAACGAGTGCCAGTGGTTCATAGGCCAGATGTGCCTGCCGAGACATCAGCATCCTGTCACCGACTAATTTCCACGTGGCCAATTCAGCTATCGCTTCCTAAGGCATCCTAAGCCACCTCGAGTGTCTTGGGTTCTGTCGCAAATTCTACTTACAATTTTGAAGCCTACTCATAAAGTCATTAGTAATTTGTAATGGCAGATACAAATTTGCCTTGACTACTTTTTTCGTATATAAGTAGAGTTTCGAGACTATTATATTGCTCTCTCATATTGTCTTAACTACACTTGTCCCACAATAAAAAGGTTATTTGAACGAAGCCTGGTATGGCTTCCAGATCACATCTGTTCTGTAGCTTGGCTTCGAATCCTGTTTATGAGACAAAACCAAGGAAAATTGGATGGCATCTTGGGGCAAACTAGGTGTGAAAAACACTTAATCACCAGCCGACCTTGAGTGACTCAAGCTCTTACTCATGAGCTTTCCAGAATCCTTCACTTCTCCCAATTGGCACCTTAATTCACATTGAAATGTCACTTCACCTCTCGACTAAAGTGACCGTCAGACCTGACGAAGCATCGAGTCAAGCCCATCTTCAGCTGATGCGTCTTTTGTAGCTGCAGCAGACGTGTTGTGCCAGCGCTTGCTTGACACCGCGGCCTCAATTTGTCTGTGAGCCTCGGCCAGGAAGTATAAATCTTTGATGGCCTAGACGCCAGAGGGCGAGAGGATTGGTGTGGAATACAGACAAGGCGAAGAGAGAAACTGGGTTTCGTCCAAGCCGTCTTGTGACCGGACCATCAGACCGACTGACTTGCGAGGAGGCTTGGCAACCGGATTGATTTTGCTCAGGCCAGTTGTGCCTCCAGGCCAGGTAAACGTGAGGGTTTTGTGTTGCAGCTACCGTGCCCAGCCAATTATGTGCCCTACACATCCACCTAGTTTCACCCCAGCCCCCTCTCCTCTCCCCACTCCCCACTCCCAACACCCACTACACCACACCCGGAATTCACAGACTGGTCTGCACCAATCATGTCCAGGCCGGGAAATCGTGACCATCGTGTATGCAAATTAGTCGGGCGAATCGGCCTCGAGATCTGCACACAAACACACCGTCGTGAGTTCAGTCCGTCTGGTTGCAGAAGCAAACTGTACGTCTGAGGCGAAGCGAACGTAGCGCCGGAGGCCTCTCCGGTTTGCGTTTATCGGTAGAATTAATCGCCAATCCAGCGAGGCAAAGCTGGCCGAGAGAAAAGACATGATGAATCTGGTGAAATGGGCTGAACCGCTACGGAATGCCAAAAGCCCTGTTGACCAGCCGACGAGGTCGGACATGGATAATTAAGCGATTCTTTCTTATTGAAACGGGCCTGGGGCTAGCCTATTAGGAATGGGTTGAGAGCCGATGAGTATGGCAAGGTTGGCGAGGGAAGAGGACAAGAATGGAGGAGTGAAGCGAATGAGTGAAGATCTTTCGGTGAGCTGAATAAGGCGGTGTGTTGCAGAAGGAAATATTCAAGTGATAAAGCGGTGCGAGACCTGGTGGTGCCTGAGGCGGGGTAGGATAAAGGAGAAACTTTTCCCAACTACATCCTGTAGTTATTTTTGGTTGAAGAAAAATTGGCTGCAGAGAATGCCTGAATTGATTTCACCCGAAACCGAAGGAGGATTAACTGTCGTCGAGTTAAAACTGTTAGATTATGCAAACATCAAAGGCCATCAAACCATGCAAACCAGCCTCCGACCCCAATGAACCTGGACGTCTTCGAAACATCCAACAGTCTTCACTCGTTCAGTTTCAGATGAGACTAATTCACGAGTTCTGTACTGCCAACAGGTCGGTAACGAAGTCTTCGAAACCCAGTTTTTCTTCATATAAAACCTGGATTTTCCTCCTGGTCTCGCCAGGCATACTTGATTCCGGTGGACCTCTGCGTTCTGACAAGTTGAACCGGAGCCTTGCTGGAGGATGGATGTGCCTGACTTGAGAGTAACTATGCTGGAGTTTCTCCACTGCCAGGCCTAGCATTAGCGTTAAAAAACAGTTGTCTATGTCGGCATAGGTATATTTTAGATAAAGAGCATAACTGGTATTTCGTCACATCAAAGACTACTTAAATCTATTCTAGCTAGCAAGAGTAGTATGATGTGCATTTAATGACCTCAATTCAGACGTGGGCAAGATTACAGTTGAAGGCCAACCATTGGATAATTCTAGGCGCAACTTGTAAAAAACTGAAGTAAATTTATTCCACTTTATTTTGCTTAAGATGATGAAGGATTGGTAGTTGTGCTTTCGCACATTAATATGAGTAGGCCTTACGTTTCCAGTAAACTTCACATAGCCATGGAAACCTAAGGTCTACTGATATAATTATGTGAACTTTCAACTGTCAGTCCCTCATCATCTTCAACCGAATAGGATGAATGCATCTCGTATAGCTGATTTATTGGTAGTCTTGCGAGCTTACTTACAAACTAAAAATAAATTTATTCCCGTTATATGCTGTAGGAAATGTACATGAATAGAAGTTGCCCCAATTTCATAATAGTCACCTCAGGAATAAGGGCAAGTCTTAATAATTCAGATCGCAGCTTTCGTATAAATCACCCGATATTATGAGACATCTTTTAATGGCAATCTTGGTTACTCAACGTCTATTAGCTTGCAGCCACTGGGCCTAGAAGTGATGCCCAATTAGAGGTTGGGTACAGAAGAACAAACGGTTTTACTTGACATGTGGACTAGTGGTCTCGTCATCAAACCTGCCCTGTCCCCCGTTCGAGGGACTTGATTTGACTAGACATCTTAAGCGAGCTCCGCAGTCTCTTCTTCCGGCAACAATCAACCGACACAGCTACATGCCAGAACAAGACGACCTTCTGGAGATGCCATAGTTGAACTTTTCAAACGGAGCACAAAGTATCGAGAGACCATAAGACAGCTTTCGATCACTCCGCTTAATTTTCCAATTGGCGACAACGTCGGGCCTAGAAATAACTTCGGCTGCCTTAGAACTCTTTTTGGTTTATAAAATGTTTTACCTAAAAACTTTTGGCTTAGAATATTTACTTCAGTTTTCGCCTCGGACTTAGACCAAGAGCATGAGACACTTCGGGAAAAAAAATGAATTGACGTGGAGATTAGAAAGTTACAAGCAAGATACAAAGTAATATTGTCATTTGATCGCAGATATGAAGACCAGGATAGTGTAACCTTTTGTCTGATCGCAGTAACCCTTAGCTGTATAGTTCTGATTTGATCTAATCCAATTACTTTGCGATATCACTCCTACATATGCGGAGACATGCAGGCACATACATACACACATGCTTCGAGGTTGATATATGACAAAAATTAATCAAATCACTTTATAATCTATTTTTCGAATGAAGTGTTGTTTTCGTTACTACCAGTAAATCAGTAAGATGAGATGTATTCACTCAAATTCAGTGGAAACGTCAGCTCACCTTCATCACCTTAAACGAAATTGAGTGAATACATCTCATATCACCTTAGACTTTATTAAAGAGCTCAGATATATAGTAAATATACAGCATTTATAAATGAGCCGGTAATTTTTCTTGACTCGTTAGCTTGAATATGGTTGTAGAGATGATACCCCACCATACTTATTGAGCTTACTTCCATTTCGAGTAAAAGTGTTTGGTGAATAAATTCGAAGGTCGATTCCACCAGAAGACGACGGGGGCTATACAGAGACAGACACACTCACAAGCTTCGAGGTTGACATATGAACGTAACTAACCAAATTACTTTATACCTCATCAGAGGCCAGATATTGAGTATATATGCCGCTTTTTAGGGATTTGCCGGTGAGTTTTCTTGACTCGTTAGCTTGAATTTGGTTTTGGCGATGATACCTTGCTCTGATGATGTTCGTCATATGACGGACGAAAGCTTACACATTTTCAATGGAATCGAAGAAGATTACCTCGGAAACAGTGTCAGCATGAATGTTCCAGTAAAGCCAATCAGCAGCTGGTCAAAAGGAATCCGCTGTCGCCTTCTGGTGGGATCGAACTTCGAATCTCTTTACCAGACACTTTCACTCGAAATGGAAGTAAGCTCAACAATTATGAAACAAGAGATTCTTTGAAACCCAACTTTTCTTTGCATATTCTCCGTCGTACGACTGACGTAATCCTATCACTTTGCCACTGGAATCGAAGGAGATTGGTTCGGAAACATCGTCAACACGAACGCTCCGGCAAATCCAATCAACTGCTTTTCAAGAGGAATCCTCCGTAGTCTTCTGCTGGGATTGCCCTTAGAATATCTTCACTAAACACTTTTATTTAAAATGGAAGTATGCTCAATAATTAAAAAACATCAGATTTTTCGAAATTCAACTTTCCTTCGCTTAGAAATTTCCCTTCACTTTTCGTCAAAGCTCATGGGCACTTCGTTGCCTTCTGACATATGTTGGTTCAGTTTTTTATTCAATGAATGTGACTCTTCGGGAAGTTGTGAAATTGTGAGGAAATTAAATTGTTAAAAGTTAGATACAAAGCTGTATTGTTATTTGAACGTAGATATGTAGACTTAGATTTTGTGGCCTTTTGTTTGTTCGCAGTCTCCTTTAACTCTATAGCGCTAGTTTGACGTTATTTTTGTATCTCGATAGGGGTAACGTACCTGGTCTTACGTCCTCTGTCATACTATTTATACTAATTTCCAGTACCGTACCGTTGAATTGGTACATTGCCAAACGTTTCGTCTACATCGTAATTAGACTCGTTAGTGACAAGCGCCATCATTAGAACCGACTTGCAGCTTCTCGAAATCATATTGTATTATGTTCACCGACACTAGTTTCAAGGGACAGTGGCATGAAAAGGCAGTGAACAGAAAAAATAAAATTTTAGAAATAAATACATGAGCTGCACACAGCGGTCGCGACCAGCTTAGGGGATCTTAATTATGGTTGCGGTTATCGAGATTCACATCAGGAGTAAGCTTTATATAATCCTCTCTGTGCATTTTAACAATTCTGGAAATCCTTGTTCTGTGCCAACATCATCCAATGTCCCTACCAGCCAATCTGCGACTTTGCTACGAGCCTCGGAATTGGTCAACCGAATAAGAGCCTAAATTCTTCCCATACCCTGTGTTGTTGTCGATTGTGAAAGTAAGCAAAGTGATTGAAAGGCGTTTCCGCGTGTCTTGATCATTCGTGGTCAGGATGGAAGCTCAGCTGTGGCAGCTTCATTCAAATCAAGTCAGTCCGAAGTATGAACAGTCCGTGGCTACAAAGAGAACACTTTTCTCGTCATTCTTAGTTTGGAGTTAGCCTAGACTTCGAAACTTTGTTGTGTTGTCAGAGCGACCTCGAAGAGCGTAATCTGAATTTCCAATGTTGTCGTGTCTTCTTCCAGCATCAGACTGTAGACTTGGGGCGACCCCAGACGTTTGGCCGCCATTACAGCGCAAGCCTTAGCATCAATCCGTAACTTGGCATAGTAACAACTTTTCCGTCCAACGATTGGGGCATCTTTTATACTCCAGACATAGAGGCTGAAGCATGCGTCAATTCCACTTCGTATGGTATCTTCATTTCTTCCAATATACACCAGAAGTATCTCCCTTCTAGTGGGTTTATTGACGCTTTTCCTGTGGCTGTCTTCATCAGCTTACTTGGTACTTCCATTTGGTACTTCACTTTTCCCAAAACCGATTGGCCTCTCTCACTTTCTCCTGCTCATGTAAATGCCCATTTTATAGCATTGGTTAACTGTTCACCCTCTATTCTAGGCAACCGTATCCATCCTACTCGAGGGTTCAGAGGAAGGAGATTGCGACCAAGCCAATGCCCACTCCTGCTGGATCTTCCACGATGACCTGCATGAAGACACAGACCTAAGAGATGAGACGCAGGTGATTCTTGGATGAATAGCTCACAGTTAGGAAACGAAGATGACGGATGTAGGGTTTGGGGTTTCCTCTTAACGAATCTCTGCGTGACCCACCTCTTCACTATTGTACAGACAACACTCCAACAGTCCTCTCGTAATCAACATTAGCTCTTCACTGCCCTCATCATTGGCCTCGGACATCTCTTGTACACTCGTCGATAGTGCAACTCGCGCACTAACACTTCTGCAACACAATTATCCCAAAAGCTCCACACTCCCTCCACAACTCAGCTTTCATCTTCTACCATGATCACTCCAAGTACCGCATTGCTAGCCTGAAGAAAGAAAAATCCACAAAATAACGCACAGATCTTCATCTTTGCTGTCTATGGCCCCAGTTATGAACTGTCCACCCGCCTTATTTCATTGGCACTATCAGAAATGGGGTACTGGTAACG